GACTTGGTAGGATTTCCACAGCATAATCCGGTCTTTCCACAAGCACCTCGATCCTGGGTGAGTGAAGACCCCCCCCTTTCAAAAGGCGCCAGACTATATGAAGGTTTTTTTCTCAATTTCAACAATATATCTGCGTCTAGTTAAAAATGTAAGATGACCTTTTATCGGAGCTTGACGAGGTTATGTATGTTCATGTACATAACTTGCCTCTGCGGCTAATATCGTCTTCAATGGAAGCGTTTTAAAGAATCAACAGGAAGCGCCTCGCTTTCGATTTAGCACGGCTTACTTGTAAATGGTGAGTTAATGACGGGTTGTCTTTCCCGAAAACGTTGTTAGGGCGGGCTTTAATCCTCAAATTCTTCAACCTTGCAATTTACTTCTGGCACCCATAAAATATGTAGGGAGGTACAACTCTTGAGATTAAGCATCAGTATCTCGTTTTTTTCCTCCTGAGTTCTTATCAACCGTTTTTCTACTGCCCTTGTAAAAATTGTGGTGCGTGTCCAAACGTCAACCGGTTCACATACAAAAGGTCCACAGCGTATATACGAGTCGTCCGTGGCCATATATCGTATATATCGTATCGCAAATCGTTTCGACACAAAGCATTTGCCAGTTGAGAGTTTGCAACCTTATCTCTTCTGTAAGTGTGGTTAAGCTCCTTAGCAAATTGGTTTTCACAAACAAAGGATGTCGTTATTCCCCTTCGTTCTTTTATGTACCGGTATTTTGTGGGCTCCCCAATTCATTTCTAATTACTCGAAATATTAATTGCCGGATTATCGAGTGTGTGTGTGTGGGGGGGGAATTAGTAGCGGGTCTGCGCGTAGGATCATCTTCCGCGCTCTGACCCAACCAAGCACGACGCATTAATACGTCAACCGCGGAAATAAAAAAAAATCTTAAATGAGTGTACACGTCCTCCGTGGAACAAATAAGGAAAATTGTGTGTTTACACGTCATCCAGCGACAAGACTCAGAGCGAACGGAGATAATTCTTTGCTACGAGGCAAGCCAAATAGGTATCAACAGAAATCATATGGAATCTGCTATATATTAGCAGCTTCGTCAAATCACTTAATTAACTAATGAAGCAAATGCATTGTGAGAGAGTTTATAATGGGTAACTTTAAAAAGACAGTAAGCCAGTCCACGTCCACGAGTATCCGAACAAAATGGTCAACTTTCTGAATGAATTTCTGCAGATCCAGCCAGCTAGCCAAGGGCACGCGTGCACGGCCGTGTACAAGGAGACCAGTCTGATTGTTTGTGTACCCATGAATATCGACCGTGGACGTAAGTAAACAGGTTTTCCCTTCGAAGGTCGAGCGATATGCACCCTGATGATGTATCTGCTATGATGTACATGTACATACAGTGTATACACGGGCAAATAATGCTCGCGGGTCATGATCGAGGTACACATAACAGGAGGCATCCATGATGTCATCAGGCTGTGCGCACGTCCTTGATGGCACGCCATGGTTGTGTACATCACGTCTTGATGACACCTTCTCAATGCCATCCGTCTGGAGATATCTTCCTCTTTTTTATGAATGGGATTAAAAGAGATGACCTTCAGTAAGGGGACGGGGGAAATTCCGGTTTGCAGACAGGGTGTCACGTCTTCAGCGACTGATATACAGGTACATAATTTTTAATCCGCCCCGGAATGCTTAAAAACAAAAAAACTATTTGGAAGAGAAAAGTACATTTTTTTTGGCTTGCAGCTGGATGTCAGCCAACTGCGCATGTGCACCTAAAGACTAGAAAATTTTGTCTTGGGTTGATAACCCGCCATTTGCGTGCAAAATCGCAAACAGCACCAAAGATATTTGTACAGAAAAAAGCTATTAATTGGTCTACAACTAAGTAAAAATTTTTTGTAAAACTCATATCCCACCTCGTTTCCTTTTGAACAGTATATTTTGCATTGCACCTTAGATAGATTTCATAAACATACAAAAAGTGAAATATGGCCTAGGTAGATTTTTATTAGTGTCGTTGTCATTCGACTGTTCCCCTTCAAAAAATGAAGTGTGATGGCCAGTGGCTGGCGTTGATTTGGCCCAACAATGACACTCTGCAGGCTTGCCAAAAAGTCTCGTACATGATCGCAATTCAAAACGAGGGAGCAGAAGGTCGTACAGCGCAAGATCCCCTTAAGCGGCTCATTCATAGTCCCACAATCAACAAGGAAAATAAACACCCTCTGCTTTTCCTTTGTCCAAAATGGCTGGCTTACCTTGAAAGAAGGACAACACTTCTTCAAAGAAAAAGAACCGGGAAAACATGTATTGTCGCATCACCTAACGACAGCATGATGGCGGTTATAAAGGATGGTGTAAACCCGCGTGCTCCGGACACCTTTTTCAACTAAACAAAACACGAGGTCGCACTTTTCAACGCTGACAAGATTTGCCCGGCGTTTTTGTCAGTCTGGCACGTTCGCAGGTTGAGGTAAGAGCTAGTAGTTAGCTTTAGCGTTTCGTTTTATAATTTGGTACTTCGCTTTTCCCCATATCCTTTTCAGTTTCTATTTAAACGCATGTACTCTTTTTGTGGTATTAGTAAAAATCTGAATAACACGATCCTTGTTACTCGTGGTTTTTAAAGTATCTGAAATAAAATTCTTTAAATAATGACTGTTACATAAAAGAGTTACACTTGTTTACGGAGAGAGGAACACTTCCTCCCGCACAGTAGGTTTGGGGAAATTCACTTGACATTTCACCTTTTTCTTGGGACAGAAAACGTTACGGGGACAAAGAAAATATCTCCACAACTCAGTCCAAATTTACCTAACAAAAGAACTTGTCCCCTTAACACGGTGAATGCCTACCCACAAGACCGTGACAAAGTTAAGTCAACTTTCATCCAACAAAATTCTTCCAAATTCCCGCAAAGCAATGATGAGGACCTCAACATGTCACCAGCCCAAACTGATGTTTCGATTCATATTTTAAATGAGTATTTCCTACCAAACTGTACACCAGACAGTGATTCAAATGGTTCAGTCTTGGTGATGAGACCCGACTGGTGCAACTTTCTAAAGATGACGAAGCACTAAGTACAGTCTGGCGGCATGATTACGGAGAGAACGTGTGGAAACAGGAAAAAAAAGGCACCAGCGATTTTTTTTGACAAAGTGGCACCAAACCAAACGATGGAATACCTGTGCATCAGTCTAATTTGTTGTGGTTCACGTCAATGCTATTGGAGACTCCCATATTTTTGGACCAGAGGAATGGTGACGATGGTAAAATGTCCAGTTCGGGCAGTTTTCATTGATGTTGGACGCATTTCAGATGTACTGTAAGTCTTAGACGAAGGTCAGTTAACAATAGCCTGGTTTGACTCCTTTTTTTTTTTTTGGTCTTTTCTGCAGAGAAGACCTTGGTTTAACAGCAAAGACAGGCCAAGTGGTTTCGTATAAGATTAAGAGATACTGAACGTTTTGATAGTTTAGTCTGATCATGTGCAGTGCCCCATGCACACCTGCCTAACATTTTATCCAGCGTACACTATAGCCACCGCAATGTACAATGTAGAATCCTGTGAGGATTCGTGAGCCTGTTTCCACACCCCAGGCTAAAGGGTGTAGGGGAAAAAGTACAGTGAACCAGGGCGTCGCTGAATTTTTTTGTGTCCCCGTATCCGTGCAGTGATCTAATTGGGAGTTAATGCCACTAGACACAGACCTATCCCTCGATTTCCAGTTTCAATTAAGGGAGGCTCGCCCACGCGCGCTCGGTCGGCCGACATGGACGTGAAATGTCACATTGTGGCTTATAACGGCAGTATTTTATGTATAAAACATGCTGAGCCAGTATTTCGTGAAGCTGGATTTACACTTCTCACGCAGGGGGTGCACTAATTACGATAATTCATAAGCTAAAAAGACCGAACTCAACTAATGGGATGATCACTTCTTCATATAATTAGTCTTTAATGTGACAGCCTGTAACGAGCGGGTTTTAATACATTTCCTAAGGAGACAGCTTTAGCGTCACACTAGGTGAAACTTTTAGGGGCAACCCGGGGTACACATGCACATGTTTTGAGGGGGCACCGAAAGGTATATATAGGTTGTGCGCATTTCAACATTTTCAGGGCGGGGGAGACACCCCGAGGGCACGGACCGGACCTCCACAGGGGGAAGGGGGAGCACGTGCCTCTCTAAAAATGCGACATCTGGAAAGGCCAGTTTGTATACATTTTTTCTTCAGTTAAACTGCAGAGGCTTAAATTCAGTGTCGTGGGTTCCCGACCCATCATCTGATCATGATGCGCCAAGTCTAGTCAGTAGTCAGTGGACTTCCGGAGTTGCCCAATCGGTCATGACCACGATCCCTGCCAGTCATGCAAAGCAATATTGCATGGTACTGTAAATGTAGGATGGCACCGATATTGCCATTATTACGCACACCGTGTACAACGTATTCTATTAGGCCTATGTTATCATTACCAATTTTCTAAACTTTGCCCCCTTATACAGGTTCACAAAGAAAAGCTATTGCAACGCACCCATCAAATTAACGGAGCCCTACCTCCCACCTGTACCCCAAGATGAAGCCTACTTTTAATCTTTGTCCAGACAGTTCCCTAAGATCAGTTCTAAACCTACCACGCTTCTTCGATTGTGCAAGTGCGGAAAAGGTCGAGGGAAACAAATTATTAACGATATTCTGATGGCAAACATTACACCAAGACATTTTGAGAGACGGACAAAAATTTATGACATTTTGCGAAGCAGTCTCGACAGACAAACGAAGAAAGGTAAGAATGGCTAGGACCATGGAGGAAGGAAAAGACGGGCACACACTTTAGCCACACAACTGACAGCAACACAGACAGGGTAATATTATTACGTTTACCTGGCCCATGGAGCTACGTACGCCATTTTGTTGCGACCACGTGCTGGAGTCCAGCCCAGGCCTGTGGAGGGCATTTCACTTGCACGGTCAGACCATGGAGGTCGGACTCTTGCAACATGCAGCTGTCATTTTGTCCTGTCAGATTTCGCCTGCTCCTGGTAACCCCAGTTGCCAGGGAGACTTCAACACTCCACAAGAATTAAGATTAAGAGTAGGTATTAGTCGTTGCCAAGTCCGTTTTGCCAGTAATAAACAAAACCGTAAAAAATAGCCCTGTTCGTCATTTTCGCATTTGCTAGTTTTTACACAGCGCCCTCTCGTAGAAAGGGGGCGTGATTGACTATCCAAGATGGCGGCCCCCATCTGTGTGACAAATGTCGAAGTGAAGGACGTGCGATTCCCAACATCTTTGGAACAACATGGTTCAGATGCAATGGTAAAATTGACTCATTCAGTACACTTCGCCAGATTAGGCATGTTGGTTTCTGCTGCGTAACGTTGCATAGGCATATAGCCTAGCAATGTAGCATATAAATTTGGGCCAGTTTCAACGTTTCACTGTTGCCATGTTCACGCGTATTCGGATCGCGATCAGTGGTCTGTCGTTGGTGAACTGGCATCATGGAGGTGAAATTTTAAAGCCATGCTGACACCAAAGCCTGCGTAATGGATGGAGCGAGCCAGCAATGGGATCACTGTACTGATCAAGATCCATATCCGTGTGAAACAAACTGGCCCAAAGTAGAGGTAAACAGGTAAACAAACATGATATACAGAAGTGAAATGTCTCAGCTTTTTTGCTGATTCAGCTTTTTTGTTTTGCGTTTCAGTTTTTTTTATCACTGGCTGTGTAAAAAGTATAGGAGATTTTCACAGTTCAGCTTCTGTTTCCTTTTTCAGCTGTTTCCAGCTGTTTTTATCAATGGTCAATCTCACCCCTGATTATAGGACCTACTGAAGCTTGGAGCCTCTGATTAGGCCTAAACAAGTAAACATGGATTAAAGTCTGAATCTTAATCGTATAGCTTACATGTAGTTGGCAAGGCATCCATTAGGAAACATCTCACCAACTTGATCGTTAATTTATGTCGCAGAGATGGACATGTAATCTGTATAAGCCTAGCATATTTGAAAGTGTCAAATAATTTGATGAGCTCCACTCTAATGGTAACAGATTGATGAGATGGAAGACCGTTCCAATCTTTGAAGTTACTTCAGGTCACAATCACTTATCATTGCCTGTGGTCATGATTGTGCCAGACTCAAGTCTCCCTGCGAACATTATTTTAGTGATGTTTCTAACCTTTGTAACTGTACATGTCATCAAATGCAATGTACCTTCTTGACTTTAATTTATAATTGAAATGTATGATGAAGAAACCAAAGCACTGCATCACACCGTTTTGTTGTTACTTTGGTTACAGCACACAGACCCTGACTATTCCTGTGCATATGTCATCATCACAACCAATGATGCTGACAATGAGCTTACTGGCCACGGACTGACCTTTACCATTGGGCGAGGCACAGAAATCGGTAAGTACATGGAAAAACTTCTTTCAAATTTGTGGCCATAATGTTTGGTTTTGTGGCCATAATGTTTGTTTGTTTGTTTGTGAAGTTTGTTTGCCTTTTTCATTCCTTTGTCACTGTTCACTCTGTTACTTGTGACTAGTCTTGCGATGGTCTCAACTACAACACTGGATTGGTTTATTGCGCCCATGTTTAGTTTTAAGCTAATAATGAGGTTGAGCCCAGGCCAGACATGGGCTTGAGCAGGCCTTGAAATAGTCAAGATCAAAGCATTATTTGGCTAGCTTTAGAAGTGTTGAGTAAACTTTCCATCCCTTTTGCCTCAGTGGTTGCTGCAGTCAAGGCCCTGGCACCGTTTGTCACTGGCAAGGCCCTCTCAGACATCTACGACAACTTTGCCAACTTCTACCGCATGTTGACAAGTGAACCTCAGCTGAGATGGGTCAGTTCACTGGCATTAATCTGTCTCAAAAACCAAATCTTCGTCTAAAACTGGAAACAATTTCTAAGTGTGGACGAGAGTGGGACTGCTTTGGCTGTCAGCTGCATCTTATGTGGCAAGCCACTGTCGGTAATCAGTGGAGGATGTAGGTTCAAAAAATTAAACGAATACAGAGTTACAGAAGGGGCCATGGCCCTACGTGTTGTGTTCCTGTATTTTAGTGAACCTTAATCACCTATTGCTGCCAAAATGGACGTTCATTCCTTCGTGTCTTTTCCTGTCAAGAAATTCACTCAGTGCTCACCAACCTAAAGAAGCATTCTGGCGGTTCACCACATTTAACTTGTCTCTCCCCGAGTATTAAAACTAGCCACTAAGCTCCAAAATCTGGCCATCAAGTTTAAGATTGATTGTGCTCCATTCACATTCTGGATTATCTCATCTGACACAACAGCCTGAAAAAAGCTGTTTCTGAATGTGCAAAATTGCTGTCAAAATAAAAAACCCACATTGCCAGAAATGAACAAGACTTGAAGTGCGTACAGAAAGGAGGGGCTCATAGGTGGGCCCTAAACCCCATGCTGAGGGTTTGCCTTGCCTCCAACATTTTATCCGTCCCCATCAAGTTTAACATTCAGAACTTGGACAAACTACCTCGATTTATCAACATTTCTCCTTGTATGTCTTCCAGGTGGGACCAGAGAAAGGCGTCATTCACCTCGCCACTGCTGCCATTCTCAATGCATTATGGGACTTGTGGGCCAAGCGGGAGGGCAAGCCGGTATGGAAGCTCCTGGCTGACATGGTGAGCAGCCAACGTATTCTTTGCCTCCCCCCAAACTTTCATATGTCAGAAAGATTCTCTAACAGAGAGAAATTGCAGGCAGTGCCACCCTGATCTCTTCAGATCATATCGGGCCTGTTTGTTTCACATGGATCTGCATCTCGATCAGTGGTCTTGATGCTGGTTTGCTCCGTCTGTTAGGTGAATGCTGGTGTCAATAAACCAGCAAGTGATTACTTGATACTGATCCACACCCGAATCTGTGTGAAACATCGTGTTGGAGTGAGTAGTTTCACACTAACCATAGAATTGCTGTTTCAAATGTTATTTAGAGTTTCAAAAACACTAACACCAATGTTGAATTGCAGAAGAAAACAGTTAGCTTTCTTTACTATATTTTTAACCAGGAACCAGAACAAATTGTAAACTGCATCGATTTCAGATATATGTAAGTATAAAAATGCTTGTTACGATTTAGTGGTACAACACTTTGCAATTTCTGCATGATTCTGAGATGTTTCCCAAATGAAAAAAAACAGTTGCATCATCCCCATTAAAGGTTGCCATAAATACAATTTATTTTAAGCATTTTAGAAAATAAATTGCATAATATTTAAACTCATTTTTCCCCACTTTATTGGACCATGCCTTTGTGAACATCCAGCACAGATGCTTTGACAAAGGAGGAAGCATTAGAGATACTGAGGAGCAATCAAGCCACCAAGAGAGAGAGAGGTAGACAGTATTTCTTTTCCTAGGGAATGGTTTTGATCTTAATTCCAACCCTCTATCCCTGACTTGATCGCAGACCTGACTGAAGTTACCTTTTGAGCAGTTTTACTACTCTGGACATTATGCGTAATTTACCTCATCTTGAAGCAGAAGACAGTCTGGTCGGCCGTAGCAATGCCAAAATCAAATTAAAAATGGTCACCATGATTGTAGGTACTGAAGCTATTATTCCTCTCAGAAATCACCCTACCACATTTGCAGGCAACAAAAAACAAAAAGCAGAGCCTTTGAAAGTAAAAAACTTGTGTTACAAGTTAACCAATGACTGTTTGTCCTCGTTTAATAGGCCTGTACAGGGCGCAACTCTAAGATTACTTGTTTGCTTTCCTATGTTGCTCGCTGGTCCGTGGACTCCCACTGGCTCCCTAGAAGTGCCCACAAAAGTGTGACCTCTTCAGTACAGAGATCTACTGACACAGCCCTAGTTAATCCATCCTATGCCTTCGCATCAAGCTTGGCTTGACACAGGGAAGCTACTCAAATGATCCTGAGAGGAGAAGAGGTGTCTACTGGCGCCCCTTGCCTCCACCCGAACTTCCTTTCCGTCCAGGATTCATTTTCAATGAGCTGTTCACCAGAAAATTGTAACAATAAAATTTCAATACTTAGAAAGAACCAGTGAAGAACAAGTCAAAGGCAGTTTACATCACATGAAATTTCAGCCAATCATCTGTTTTTCGCTAAGCAGGCGTTTCCTGCTAAATCTCTTATTTCAGAACAAACGCTACTAAAGGATGGCTACCCTGCTTACACAACCTCGACTGCCTGGCTGGGCTACAGTGATGAAGTGCTGCTACAAGTATGTACCTCCAGTAGCTGAACCACTCAGCCCCCATCCCCTCCCAATGAAAGACTTTCTCTCAAAGAAAGAAAGCAAGGGAGTCAGTTGAGTTGAAAAAGGGTGTGGAGAGGTTACTATAATATACACAATTAAGTTCAAAATAGTGCAGCAAAGTTTCTAAAAGTTCTTGGACACAACACACCTTGCATGCTAGTAGCATGACATCCAATAGTTGCTGGAGGCTAAAAACTGTAATTCTAGATATCGGGGCCTTGATAATTTTGTATTAAAACAAAATACAAAACTATGGCCATATCTGAAATGAGCTAGCCAAAGCTATGGTTTTGTACATTGGCAGCCACACTGTGCCCACATATGTACAATTACAACCAGTAAAGGCCTAGACCTCTAGCCTTATGTACTTGATTCAGATGCAACTCATGATTCTTGATTATTTTGCTAGTCCTTTGTCTCTTTAATATCAAGCGCTGCAGGAAGGCCTTGTCCGAAGGCTGGACCAAATTTAAGATGAAGGTTGGGTCGGACCTGGCAGACGACATTCACCGAGCAGAGCTGTTACGCAACGAGATTGGATACGACAAAATTCTTGTAAGTGGGCGGAATTTTGCTAATGACAGTCTTTCTGTAGGCTTAATTTGTATTGCTAAAGGTCACTTGGTTCTTTTCAAATTCTATTTGGTCATTCATGCCATGCATACATGTAAAACTCAAGCCAAGTCTGACATGTCTGCAGAAAAAGTTGTCTGGTTACTTAGCCCATGGAGGAAGGACCATACAGGATAAAATGTGTAAAATATAAAAATATGTAAAAGAACACTTGATACATTAAACTAAAAACCAACAAAACACGATTTGCAAATGTAACACAGATGAAAAAATCATTAGAAAGTCAAAAACTGACCACAACAAATTATGTAAAAGGAATTCCAATATACACTAAGAATTGTATACGTGTACACATTGGCTGTTCTGCCACTGCTTGTATTTGTGTGCTTTTTAAGTATATAGGAGTTTTATGGGTTCACATGACAGTTTGTTGAGTGCACAGTAATAATGACGTATCTCAGACAGCAGAGAGGGCATTGCATTTTGAATTTCCCTCTGTAAAGCTGCCGTGATTGACTTTTTTCCCGTGCGCCAGATGATGGATGCTAACCAGAAGTGGGGAGTGGACGAGACCATCGAGTGGATGGGCAAGTTGGCCATGTTCAAACCCCTGTGGATTGAGGAGCCAACTTCTCCGGATGACATCCTGGGCCATGCTAAGATTGTTCAGGTATGTCGTCACGGCGTGTGGAAGGCTTCACCTTAGTGCCTCAAAATAACAATGTCTACTGCATTTGGCTTGGGCTTCTTGTCCATCCACAGTGATATAAATAATAACAGATTTTTTCAGGTTCATAAACTTTACCATATAAATGTACCACCTGCTCTGGATCCTTGTTCAGAGTCAATCAAAGTTATTGTCAGTTTTATTTTATTGCCAGAAAGGAATGGTCCTCCCATTTGTCCTTAATGCTTTTCATGTTCATCCGTCAGGCCATGAAGCCCCTTGGCATCGGGGTGGCTACCGGGGAACACTGCCAAAACCGAGTCATGTTCAAGCAGTTCCTGCAAGCCGGTGCCCTGCAGTACTGCCAAATTGACAGCTGTCGCGTTGGCAGCATCAACGAGCTGCTCTCCATCATCCTCATGGCCAAGAAATTTGGAGGTCAGTAGATATACATTGTAGATATTAAATTATCAAAATTATCAAACTGTTTAATACCTCCACTTCCTCATGTGTCATAGTTTAGTAACCACTGCGTTTCGAACTAGGGTGTTACTTCTAGGGTGTTACCTCTAAGACTGTAAGTTTTCTGTGCATTGCCGTAAAAATCATGATTCCCACTATATCGCTGGTATATTTAATGAAGTCGTGAGGTTTCAGGACTGTATTCCTTCATTGGAAGTCAAAACCACAGAGTTTGAAAGGAAGAAGTAATGTTTGAGTTTGCATGATATTTATCTGCAGTTCCGGTTTGCCCCCATGCCGGAGGGGTGTCGCTTTGTGAGCTGGTGCAGCACGTCATCATGTTTGACTACCTGTGCGTGTCGGCTACACTGGAGAACAGGTAAGGCAAGCTTCATTGCCTGGGGACTTGTTTCCTAGACCTTGAAGATTACTTTACTTACAGATTACTCTGTGCATATGTACATGTACTTATGCTTTAGACAACGCAGTCATGTACATCTTGTGTCATTGCTAATAATTTTCATTATCCTTTGATTCTCTCTGTCAGAGTGTTGGAGTACGTTGACCACCTGCATGAGCATGCCAAGTATCCCATTGTCATGAAGGACACGTGCTACACACCTCCGAAGGTAAACCTATCCATTGGCGTGTACTTTGCAAGTTAGGGTCGAGCCACAAGCACCGCTGTGCCACTGTGGCTTCCCTATGGTGTTGTGTAATGTTGGAACATATAGTCTCAGGTTGCTTGCTTCTGAAAGTTTGGTCTGCAGCTAGCAGTGGCACACGCATTTATGGGAAGTGGCTGCAGTCGCTAGACACTAGCTTTCCTAGGCACACCCACACCAAGGGATGGGGGGGGGTTAGGGGATAATTGGCCCCCCCGATGTGAAAATCCATCCAGATGCCCACCAGCAGAAAGAAAAACACTGGATTCTATGAATGTCTTAAATGAATGTCTATGAATGTTACAAGTGGAACATAGCGTGTGTGAAATCATGGACTTGCCTTGTGTAGATTCATTGGATTTGTATATGTACGGTTTTGGTTGAAACGTAGGAGCCTGGCTACAGTACAGAGCTGAAGGAGCAGACTCTGGCAGACTACGCCTACCCAGCGGGTCGAGTGTGGCAGGACCTGGCCAGGGAAGGAAAGGTCACCCTCTGATGAGTTGACCTCCCAGCAGGCTTTGCTGCAGGTCAGGTCAGGCCGATTGAGATTCCTTTTTAAAGCAGGACATTTCGGCCTTCTGGATGACAAACTTGTTTATCATTTCCAACACAGCATTTTGTCTATATGCTTTCGCCATGCCTATGATTAAGGCATTGATAAAAATGTTTTTATATCATCATGTATTTCTCTTCAGTGGTGAAGGAATTTTGTACAGTTGGGATATTTTTGCTGTTATGCTAAATTTATATTTCAAAACTGAGATCTTGGGCAATTTGGTATTTTTAATGATTTTTAAATATTTATTGAGGAAAGTCGTGCAATGAAATGTGGAATATTATTCTAATGTATTTTTCAACATTGAAACATCTCAGTGCCATATAATTTCCAATTACTTATTCTTTATTCACTGAAATTTAATGTATACTAAAGGAACAGGTGGTACTATTTTGAAATTTGCTCTTCAAATTGAAAATCACACTACGAGAATCTGTACCAGCAATTTGGAATTCCTTGCCTGTGGAAACATCGCTCAGTTTTACCTTAATATGTTTTCATCCATCTAAGAGTTTTATATGTACTTTTGATATCAACATTTAATTGTAAACCTTTCTGACTTCGAAATTTGTTCCAGTGTGTCTTTGAGATGCAGTTTTATGTGTAGGACAATATATAATCGAGTCATGTTTTCGTAAATGTTTCAATATTCCTAGTTACATACAGATTATCACCTCATTCATCTAAGCAAGTTCAAAGTTGTCAGAGCTACCATTCTTATAATATCCCCTAAAACAAAATGGTGCACATCCAGAGTCGACATAATTTTTCATAGGTTTTACCTATCTGATGCCTACTATTACTAGGTGTGAATATGAGTGGTTTACCAAGATGGAGAGCAAGTAAAAAAACAAAAACAAAAAGGAGTAGAGAACAAAAAGCACCTGAGCCTCATTTTGTGGGGATAATTGTCTCAATTTCGTTTTCAGAGTATGCATCACTACTCCTTAATACTTGTTTTGTTAATGGCTTATCATAGGTAGCATAGCCGCTTCGATCAGCAAAATTATAGCGTTGTACAAATTGAGTGGTTTGTTACACCTACTCAAATGAGGACGAAAATACGGTCCGGTAGTTTTGCCACTAGGACTACTAAGTTCCTTACATCTACGGCTCGATGTACTCGTCAATGCAGACCCGGTAGCGTGGCCCAACATCGCAGTACTCCCAGTCGATGGTTGGGTGGCCCTTGATAAAACACCATGGCTTGCCGCGGCCCGGCCCAGCCTCAATGCCCAGGGTACGGCAATAGTTCTCCTCGGTCTTGAAGGCTTTGCTGTGGGTGCAAGGCGCAGAGAAAAAATCTCAGCAAGTTGGCTTTGAAAAGCGTAATTTGAAGTCCCGTAAATTTTGGCCGTGACGTTTAGTTGGCTGTCCCCTTTCTTAAATAAACGAATATATGTACAACAAACACCTAAAATTATACCATAACGACATTAATAATAGGCCTACCGTAAAAAGGTCAATGATGTTACTTTACACAACAATAAGAGTATACCGAAACTCATTACCATCAAATACTCATTACGATATCCATCAAATACCCGAACGTTAAGCTTGAAAGTGTGGTTCGTACTATAATGAGACTTTCCAGGACTGCAGATATTCAGGGAGGAAATGCCACAAATTTACAGGCCGAATTATGGTACCCACGTTTGCTTCGACGAACGTGATGTTGTCGTCAAACTTACTGGTACTTCTTGTTGTTGACCCTGTCCCGCCAGTACTCGCAGGTGTACCCAGATACCGTGGTGCTGACGAAGCCGCGGTAGTCCTGTCCGTCCTTCTCGGTGTAGCACTCCGGCCGGTACCCGACGTATGGTGCTGTCGAGAAGGAACAGCGAAACTTGCAAGCTGATCTGGGCGCAGTCTTTCAGAATACCGAAATCGGCACGGCCCGAATGAAAGGCCCAGTAGGGGCTCAAGACCGCGCCTGCATCGTCCTGCGATTTTCTGTTAACGCGTTTGGCCTTCACGGTCTCTGATAAATACCTGTACCGACTGTTCCGTCCGTACCGGCGCGCTCGGGGCTGCCCACTTCAGAGCGGTCAAACACATTCTGACACTGACAAGGATTGCGTAAACTGGCAGGTATGCAAGTGCTGTCGCTGCGATGCTGCTAGATATGAGAACTACACCGACTAAACCCACTCTGTCTTATAAACTTTGCCGGTGTTTCGGCAAGGAACGCCGAATCTGGCATTCCCAAGTCACAGTAACGGTGCAACTAAGTGAAACAAACACTGAACAAGGGCAGGCCACACAAGGTATCACAACTCAGCACCAGCAGAGAGAGGTTGTACTGTGTGCCTTGGTGAAGTTATTTTGCAAACTTACCGACCAGTTTGAGGTGTTCGTTCAAGCAGACCTCGTGACGGTCGCCCACCTCGCAGTACTCCCACTCTACATCCGGGTCTGTGGTGAAACAGAACGGCTTCTTGCCCCGGCGATAGGCGTGACGCCGGATGCGGCAGTAGTTGTCATGGTGACCGAACAGCATTACGTTGCCCTTAGCGACGGGATGAGGCAGCTGCTGTAGCCACCGTTGGCAGGGCAGTCCTGTGAAACGGAGAAGGAACGGGGTACATGATATGTGGTTGGTGAAATACAGGTGTTTTGTTTCGTTTTATTTTTGAATACCATTCTTTATGACAGGTGCCTCCGCATATCTCATGCGGAGAAGAATCTGTTTTGAGGTAGTATGATTCAAAATCGCTACCATCTGTCATGCAAGATGTCGCAAACACGTTCAACATCAATCATCGTGTTCTTATACTCAGAGAGGTATTTTGAATCGTTCTTTTAATTTAAGTAGATGCAAACATAAATAATGAAGAGAGGAACCCTCTTAGGAAGCCATGTGTTTCCGTGACATTGTAACTCACCAGAGCGAGTGTAGTTGACGAATCCACGGTAGTCACTTGCGTCGTTCCGGAGGTAACATTCCGGATATGAGCCGACATACAGGGTATCTGTCAAAAGAAGGGACGAACAGAAATATATTGCCCTAGACCAAGAAAGATACACGTGTTGTCATTTGCAGTGTTCTATTGTCTGGGCGATTTTACATCGTGCAAGTATTCATCGCCAAGAAACCAGTCAGTTTCACTGTGAGGTATAATCCCTATAGTGTGATATTTTTTTGAGGAAAACCGATGTTATTTTAAAATTATAAGAACGCTTAAAAACCACTCGAATTCGGATGCCGCTTGTGTGTACTACCTTCGTTTTCATCGAACTTTCTGCCTTCGCATTTGTCGCATGGTAGACCTACGTCACAGTACTCCCACTTCACGTCGGGGTCAGTGGTGTAGCACCAGGGCCGACGCCGATTGGACAGCCTGATGATTTTGCAGAGTAAAGTGTACAGGTATTGGATATGTTCTTATGCAAATTAGCTTCTGGTGGGCTTGACCATTGTGGCTTGAGCAAAACATCGGAGAGTTAAACAGGTATGAGAGACCGAGAGGTGCAGATCCGTTAACGGCCATGCTCTGGCTAAACATTTGAATGCCTCCCCCATCCGCTCATGGGAATCGTGAATGCCAAACATTGGCAGAACAAACTCATGAGAAATAGTTTGTTCACTTACTGTTTGCCGTCCCTTTGGTAGCCGATGTTCCTGCAGTAGTTGTGGTCACCAAATCGGACCGAATCGCGGCCTGGCTTGTACTTGTTTTTCCGCTTGTGAGGGTAGTCAATGTTCCACATTTGGCAGACACGCCCGCTCACTGTCCGGCTGACGTGACCTAGGTAGTCCGCCCCGAAACGGTCTTCGTAACACTCCAGGTTTTTGCCATCACAGACCTGTTCTCCTGTTTAGATTCGAAGGATGTCAGAACCCCACGAAATTCATGCTGTGTCTTCGGAAGTTTGATAAACACTAAATTTTGTTGCTCGATAACCCTATGCGTTTTCTCTGTTTTAAGCTTAACATGAGGTAGATGCTACCGTAACATCCCGAGTTTTTCCGTAACATCTCTGATTTTTTTTTTTTGGGGGGTGATGATTTGGGAAAAAAGAGAGTGATTCCATAGTGTCTAGATGTACCATTAAAATGTACCAGCATCAGTGTCGCGACAGGTAAAAATAATCGCCGTAAATTTGGTTCAAGCGTGATCAGACAAAGTACAGGGTATATGTGGTATAATAACCTTACCCACATCGGGAGGTTCCTTCGACTCGCCACACTGGTCTTGGAATTCCCCCACATCGCAATAGCCCCAGGAGCCAGCCGGGCCGGCGACGTAGCACCACGCCGTCCGCCGCTTCGTGCCATCGGTGTGCGGCGCTGCCGTGTTACGGCAGTAGTTGGCGTCGTTGCCAAACTTCTCCCTGGTGGCAAAAAACATTATAACGTGCGAATGCAACTCGAGACTGTGCCCTTCATCCGGCAAGTACAATTCCGACCGCACTGGCTCAAACTGGCACTGGCTCCATGCTCAGAACTAGCCGTCACAGGTCAAAGCCGTTTTTCGGCGATCCAAATCGACACAGTTTTCACCGATGGACCTGCACTCACTTTTCATTTATTTTAGAACAAGAGAACCGGTTTCGCACCCTGTCTTTACCTATAAGCAGCCTCGACTTTCTCGCAACCCCAATCAATGCAAGCCTGGCCGCTGGACGTCACCGAGATCGTGCCCCGGTAGTCGGCTGCATCAGGGCGGGTGAAACACTCGACTCCGTCCCCAATAAAGGTACCCCCTGAACAAAGATAGGAAAAACTCCCGTGTAATATTGTTTAGAAGAAGATCGCGTACGGGCACTAGTGGGACTGTCCTTGCGTCCCTCTGCGATCTAACCGCCACGCTGACATACTCAGTGCACTAGTGATTGATTCAATCATCAATTTGCCCAGTTTGTATCCTTTCGTTAGAAATTACTTTGGCTTCTCTTTAATTTTCTTTCAATATTCAGGCCACAGTGTCCCATGTACTAGATTTTCACTGGCGAAGCGAAGCAATATATTACATTTTAAATGGAGAAAGCATGACGTGGATTTTCTACTTTCGAGTAAAGACAGACACTGGACCACCTTCCGTAACTGTCTTCATCTGCACGGCTCTTTTACGTGATCTCATCTTTCCTCTCTTTTAGATTTTGGAGGAGGTAAAGAAAACGGGAATAAAATTTTTTAATTATTCATCCTCTAGGCCTATTTGCAACAAACTGTTTCAATACCGTTGTCGGATGCCTCCGAGATGGGTCCTGCGAAGTCGAAGAAGGACAGGGAGCTGAAGGAACTGTCGATGATCTCGGTGGTGGTCGGCGGAGGGGGCACGGTGGTGGTCGGAGGAGGTGGTAGGGTGGTGGTTGGCGGTGGTGGTAGGATGGTGGTCGGTGGAGGGGGCACAGTAGTGGTCGGCGGGGGGGNAAGGGGGCTCGGCGGTGGTCAGCAGAGGTGGTAGGGTGGTGGTCGGCGGAGGGGGCTCGGTGGTGGTCGGCGGATGGAGCGGCAAGGTCGTTGGTGACGGAGGTGTAAGGGTTGTCGTTGGTGGAATTGGCGAGGTAGTCGGCGGTGGTGGGGGAGGGAGGGTTGTTGGAGGAAGAGGGGGCGGGGTTGACCCCGGTGGGCAATCGAAATCGATATGGAGAGTGCGGTACAGTACAACTACGAAATTGAATAGGTATACGAATAATTACTGTGAATTCAATATTCAAAAGCACTGCCAAACTGGGAAATAAAAAAGAAATATATTCTCGAGTTTACTCTGTACCAGATATTTTTTCAATCGAAGTGTATCTGGTTAATTCATTTCACACTCAATGCACTCCGAAATTCACAGATGAAAGTACTTATGACAGCTGTTATAAAGCTTGAGCATGACCATTTTCTAAAAATAAATTCTAAACTCTCATTTTTTTGTATTGAAAGTAATATAATATTAGGCAATTCTTCGAGATGTGTGGAGATTTTACCTTTTGCCTTTTCGATGGCCTCCGCTGTCAAAAACAAAGACAAACAAGCGACACAATGGAATGTTACTATAAAGGCGGTTGAGGTTGCATTCATTCTACCCGTATAAACATTGTCTCTACTTCTATGAATAACATGCCAAAAAGTAATAAGTAATTCATGTTAATGCCCTATCAGTGAAATCACATGATCAACAAGAACAACCTCTGAACTACTTACCTAACTCGTCACAAACGATGCCTGGAAAAAACAGAAAACATTTTAAAATAGAGAATTCAGAACCTCGTCTGAACGCGTTTCATATTGGCTACTGCCTCTTTCTCTAACAGATCGTGTTTGATGCGAAATTGTCCGAATTCCAAAACTCTGTCGAGAGTTAACATTTCCCGATGACATGTTGACCCTACGGAATTTGTACTGCGAGTCCACATATATCCTCGGAATATACCGAGTCAAGATCGTATCATTTTATAGGATAATATTTTTTTCTTTGGCTTACCGACAGGAGGAGGTCTCCCAAAAGTGGTGACATCGCGTGCCCGAATATCTATACAGACCAGCAAAAACAGAAAAATCAACGCATTTTGGTTGATTGTGTCGACGCCCTTTTCAAAATGCACTCTTGCAGTACACATAAAAACAGTTTTTTAAAGAATGAGAGTAAAAATAACTTACCGTTGAATCCAGCGTTGCAAGAAAGCAGACTGTTGAGGATTACAGCCACTACGAAATGTCTGAACGGCATTCTTTATGCTGAGCAACGGTAAAAACAGGGAGGTATATAAGAAAGAAATCTTCGGTCGTAAATCTTTTTCCAGTAACTGTGCCATTGTACAATGGCGTAATACCAATGGCAAATGAAACTGGCTCGGTTTTATATAACAATTACTGGTATTCCACATTTGCAGAGTTTACCTGCGTAGCTTATTTCCACCCGAGAACGACTCCTTGGCTTCAAGCAGCCGAGGTGAAAACTGGTGATGGCTAAATTTTGAGCCCCCTTTAAATAGTGCTGACAATCGACGTGTTGTATTATTTTGCCCACCTGGTGTCTTCCCTGGGACATCGTTTGTTTGCATCACAGTTGTGAATCAGTGTGCCTTACCCCCATCCACCAATTCATCAAATTTAGTCGAAATGTTGTTGTAAAGTTGAGATTGACAGGTCATAGTATGAAATCAAATAGGCAGAACGATGCTTATAATCCCATATTTCACTCTCAATTCAATAACAGGCTATTTGTTCCATCAATAATCAGTATATTGGCATAGTCAATATATTGATACAATTATATTTGCATCAACCTGTTGAAGAAAAAAAAATAATTTCTGCATATAAATGCCTGTAATCAAAACAACTCCGCCAAGCACACAGTTTGTATTTTATTGCCTTACCGATCAATAATTATGCGCTGGCATTAGTGTAAATCTTTACATTGGCGGATATGGATCACAGTATCCACAGGTACCCACATCCTTGGTTGACTTTGAAAATTTAATCATACCAAATTGGCCTAAGTTATTTGAAAAGACAGCCGCTCCTTGATGTTTACATTTTGCTGACGTGACTTTGAGTGGTTGTCAATCATTATTCGTGAGCAAGTTATACGAATGTCTTTAGATCTGTAGGGTGAAGGTAAAATTGCTGGGTCGCTTTCTAACATTAATTGGCGACCAACATTTTAAAGGCTTAATTCAGGGAGCGCGTATACCATCATTTGTAACATTTCTCACTCGGCACAATCGGAAAGCCAGTGAAATTTGCCAGCCCACAAGAGAAAATTATCCCGGCAGCGTAAAAACAAAATGTCTTGTGATTAGTGATTTTATGAAGGATGGACTGGTACACATCTAAAACGGGAACACAACAAAGATGCCCCCATGTTCAGTTTAATTTGTAATAGACCTTCACTGTTTCGTGGAAAGCTAGCTAGCCCAGGTTGAGTTCCGCCGTGGTTGTTGCGAAAATGTCACAACAGCCAAGATACTCCCGTTAGACTGAGACAAGTCTAGTAACATCCGGGGCAACGATAAACAATATGGCTGCGGATATAATCATGGAAGAGAAGGCATACTTAGTCACTACACTGTGCAAGTAATGTGGTCTTGTTAGCCATTTAAACGGTATCCTGTGGCAGCACAAATTTGGTGAGTTTTACCATTTTGATGGAAGTCGCTGAATCAGCTATTACGATTAATATTTAAGGAACAAAATAAACAAAAAATGAACTTTAATCCAAGTTGTCCAGTGTCCAGACAAATGACTCGCGGGACTCACACGACTAGACTCACAACATGACTCTGAACGTTAGGCCTTCTCGGTCCAACCTCGATCTACGGCTATGGTTTACAAAGCTTGTTTAAACTGAACTCTTTTTCAATTAGAAACGCGTCATAAGAATGGACTGCTGAGCATTGGCCTTTGTCATGGACGGCCCCATCATGAGCGAGGTGCACGAGGCCGCGGCGGCAGGGGACAGCGAGCAGGTCCTGAACCTATTGAATCTTGGAAAGTATGACGTCAACCAGAAAGATACCGAATGGCATGATAGGACACCGCTGCACTGGGCTGCCATCAAAGGTGATCAAATGGAGTAGGCGTGGTCAACAATTTCTGAACTCATGTTAGAGGTAGTAGGCTATAGCCTAGGCCTATCTATGTGACGGGGCTAGGCCTATGCAGATTGAATAAGAAATAAAATAGGCCCTATCATGCCTATCGGTGCTCGTACTGAACTTCAGAAAGGCCACAAGACCTGCATTGTAACCCAATTATATTTTCCTGGAAAGCACTTTCTTTTGCAGAGACAGGCAGTTAACATTTCCTTCGATGAAGTCCTTGTTTTGTGCCGTCTATTTTCATTAGCTGGCATTATCAGACTGGCGTAAAATTCTATTGAGTTACATGTGATGCCTTATTAATGCTTAATTTCATCCCTTCAAACTCAGGTCACGCCGAAAGCATCCGGGTCCTTGTGGACTATGGTGCCAATGTGGATGCTGTCACTGATAGCGGGTGGACGCCGGCACATTTTGCGGCCGAGATCGGGAAGCTTGGTGCCCTCAAGGCACTGCACAAGCTGGGCGCTGACATGGAGATCAGGGACTGCTGTGGAGACATGCCAAGGGACCTGGCCTCTGTCTACGGCCAGACGGAATGCGTGGAATTCCTGAAATTGTGAGTATCAGCTCCGCGCAGGATCAATAGAGGGCTTGTTTTTTTACATAGAAAAAGACTGTCCTTTGATAGGAGTTCACAGTGTGCATGCAAAGGCTTAAATGGATTTGATCCTGCATCAAATCCATTTGATGAGCAAGTGCAGCAAATTTGAATACATGTACATGGTCTTTGCGTGCGTGCACTTGGCGCATGTATGAACTGAGCTCAAATGAAAAACTTTACATCACCTTTTCTAAGGCTCATGAGTCAGTTGCATGCATGTCAAAAAGATTTGGTTGTCCCAGAACGAAGTACAAAACATCACACCAGTTTCCATGCTGCGAGTCAGCATATAGCTGTGCTGATAGGGACGACCTTACCCTTGTGTGTTACTGTTCTCGATTGACCCATGATACGCTTCACGTTGAGCATGTGCTCTCGGTATATCAAACTGGCTGTCACCAGCTTTACGCACCCAGGAAAGCTGAGTGACCGATTCTCTTGTGGGTTCTGGTTTCACTGCGCAGGGCCGAGTACGAGGACAGAATACAGCGCGAGAGGGAGAAACAGGAACGGCTGGAGCGAGAGGAGAGGGACAGACGAGAGGAGGATAAGAGGCGGCGGGAGGAGGAGCTAAGACAACAGAGGAAGCAGGAGGCAGAAAAGCGGGCCAAGGAGAAGGGCAAGGAGAAGGGCAAGAAAGGCGGAGGGAACAACGGCAGCAAGGGGAAGAGTTTAGCCAGCGTCGGAAAGGCTGTCCTACTCATGGGTGGCAAGTAGTGTGACCTCGTCTAGTTGTGTCCCCTTATTTATTGTTCAGTCATGTCAGCAGCTGTAGCCAGGTTGTCACAAATTGTCATTAATCAGTCTTGAGTTACAAGCCGTTTCCGTGAACTGTGACCATGGTGACAAACGGATGCCTTTGTCATCTTGACCATTGTAATCAATATCACAAGTTGTCACTTGTCACTCAAGCTGTCACATCACAAGTCATTTAGCCTCATCAAGTGATGAGCTATTTCAGTGAAATGACAGAGGCAGTCACTGCTCATTCAGTAATAGAGGATCTTATGATTTTTTTATATCTGCTTGCGATAGAGCTTACTGTAAACTTGATTAATGGCAGACAAGTGAAACACTCACATTGCCCAGGCAATAATGATTACAGCCCTATTTCAGTGCTAGGTCACTAACACTCCAGTAGGAAGTGATAGCAATATTTACAATAATGCATCACTCAAATGTTTGAAATAAACTTTGCTTTGCTATAGGTACTTTGATAAGTTTTCCAACAACACTTACACCTTAATGCCAAGTATTCAAGAATGTGTCCTGTAAACTCCGTCCTGAAAAGGGTATTTAGTGACTTTGACAGTTGAGGGTATTAATATTGTTCTAGCAGTCTCAGAATAGTGTTTTCTTAGAAACAAGTGCTTTTAGCATCCAGGTACATGTACGTTGACATAATATATGTATTAAACATGTAGAAAGATTGACATTTATTTTTCAAGAGATCGACTTTGCACCTCCAATGGAGAAGAATTTGTCCTTTGTTTTTGTTAAAAATTTGAGTGGCAAATAACTACAGCAAACACTAGGGCAGATTTCAAGTCGCTTTTATGAAAGCTTTATTATACATGTACGATATTGTATTTCATTTGGTACTTAGTCAGCAAAACGGCCAAATATATTAAATCAACATTAGTATCAATTTGCTTTGAGCACCTAAGTGTCCATTATTCATTTCTCCCGTTTCCAATAGCAAGGGCTGACTTCTCCAAACAGGTAAACCTCTTTTTCCAAAAACCTCATAAATAAGAGGCATCAAATGCAGAATGGTAGCTCTTTAAAATGTGCGCCAAAAATGTGAATGAGAAAAAATACAGAATGATCCATGACCCCAAAATAAAGGTGACAAAAAGTAAAATGTTTAAAAAGAAAGGAAAATGTACATTTAACAGTAAAAGGTGGGGGAAAAAAACAAAAAAGCCCATGGTTAATGCCTGTGATGAAACAAAGTGCCCTGTTTTATAACTTGACCATCATCCAGACTAATACGTGAATTTTCCAATTCCATTTCATGGAATATGGCAGTTTACCCATTGGTTTCACCAGAATGGTGTGGTCTTTGTCCAATTCTGGAACCAAATTGAAATATGTCAAAATGGCCCTCATTTAGATTATTAATTCTTTGGAAAGAATTCCATTCTCCACAATTTCTTTTAGAGGAGTTACTAAAAAAAGAAAAGAAAAAACTGCAACAAAGATGATTGTCGTACATAGCCTAACAGTCCTCAATCATTTCATAGCTTCTTCCTGCAAAAGTTTGATGAGATTAGAGTAGGAATGAGAATTTCTTTCTCACCTTAACTTTCTTAAAGCATATCAAACAATGTTTGCTAGTAAAAGAACTTTCATAATGTACCAGTACTTCACTGAAAAGAAGGGAAAAATCAACACGAAGGCTTGGTGCAGCTTCAATTCAAAACATTCTTTGGTGTTTAACCTGCACCACGTTGGAAATTATTTATCAGAAGTGCAAACAAGCTACTCTTTTGTGCCTTGGGAGTCTAAAATGTGTTGTGAAATTCAGCATCATCATTTTGTAAAAAAAAAAATCTAAATGACATAATACCCCAATGTTATGCATCCATTTGCCTTGTAAGAGGTCAAAGGTTACAAAGTATTCCACAGCAGACTGGAGGGGTGCTTGGGCAAATAGTATTTTTTAGGGGAGGCTGCAAGGCTTCTTGTGGTCTCTCTGACACAGCTACCTCTTAATCTGAAATAAAAATAAAAAAGAAAAAAAAGGTCAGGAACACTCGTTAAAACAAACTGTCATTGCAAATAGTAGGCAGAAAGATCAAATTTGAAATCAACTGGACAGACTGATCCTACAAGAAACATCTCTAGTAGAGAGTGTTTAGGTGGTATCTCAAATGTCAGATGAGAAGGCTGCTTGTTACCAATTGGGAACACCTGCTGTTCCCGGATGGGAACAGTGATCTATGGGTGTGCATGCGAACTTAAGACCTGCGTGCTCCTAAATGAGAATACAGCAAATTCCTACCAGGAATGTTCAGTGGTCCACAAGGGAGCATCCCATCTGTATAAACAGGAAATCTGCTGACATTTTCGAGGCATTTCCCTTAGAAGTCATCTCAAAATTTGTCCGGGAAAAGTTGCAGACGCTGTTGAGGGTTGAGTTGCAGGATTCTATATCTTGTCCGCAATCTTCCGGCAATGAATCGATTAGTTTGTTTACATAATGTCCTACTTCTGGGGTTTGAAGCAAGGCTGGGCACTCAAGGACACGCTGTGTCTACTGCACTGGCAGTAAACATTGTAATAGCACGACTTATACAGAGCCACCTGTTCTCTGCACTGAGGCCAAATATAAACAGCCATTCACTTGTCCGGGACGAATGCAGGCCTTCTTGTGCGTGAAGTCAATGTTGCCACCCGCAATTTGTCCCGGACGAGTTTTGACATGGTCCCTTACCTCTGTGACGACTCCAGCACCGATTGTTGACCCGCTGTAGCGCAGCATGAACCTGCCCAGGTCCTTGCAGTCGCGGTACAGCTCCAGACACACTGGCCGGCTGGTCTCAATGTCTATGATGGCGTTGCTTTGCTTCGTTAGACACCTGTGGATAAAACAAGGTAAATGAGGAAGACCGCAATAACACTATACCACACATACAAACTCTTACATGGTCAGCATTACAGAAAAGCAAAGTGTTTGGATGATATCACTTAAAAGCAACATGAGGTTAAGGAGACCATCCCATGTCTTATAAAGCCAAGTCATGGGAGAAAGTTTTCACTAGCGATTTGGAGGCAACCACATTCAAATGCATTACCCTGACAGTCAATGAAATTCTTCCAAAAATCATAACTTTATTGTTTGACATGTTCTTCCCAAAATGAAGCAAGATGCTACTCCACACTTCCTTTTTCAAAACTTCTAAAAGAGTCACTTTGGTTATTTAAAACACATTAATAAGCACCTTCAGATTTATAAAAATGATTATTTGGGGATAATGAGGCGTACTGTGTACATTTTGTGGACATTTGGTTGGTTACCAGTGTAAATAAAAGAGGTTGAACTCATTCAACATTTTAAGTGAAAGTGTTTGTACAAGATGACTTGATTTCAAATTTTCTCTCAACAAAGAAAACTCAGTATATTTTGTAACAGATGTAATTTGAAGCCCCTCAGAAAGACTTTTAAAAAAAATTCGTCATGAATAAATTGCAAAACTGACAGAAAATGATGAGAAAGATTTGGCTCTCTTCATTCCTTTACCGTTTAAAATCCCTTGGTGTTTGATCTCTTCCTACCTCACATCCCTTTGCTGCTCAACCGTACCTTTTACACAGGCCCCTTTACCCCTTGCCCTTTAATCCAGCCATCAGCTTTTTCACCCCTTCCTTTTATCCTTCTGCATTCGTCCATGCTTGGTTGATTCCCCGCTTGCTTGTTTGTTTCTGTTGACTTGTCATTTTGCCTTTGAGAGAGATTCTTCTAGAATTGAAACGTCAGGCCCTCCTACTTTTGCGATTTGTATTTGAGGTCACTGTAGCCAGCACGCAGTTTGCAGCTGGTTTTGTATCATATAAAATCACTCTCACTGTACCAGCACATCTGCCAGGTCTCATACCTTTTCAACCACCGCAAATAATCTTTCAAGTTGGCTGCATCGAAAAATATTTGAGTACATGTTCGTTGTGAACGTTATATTTGATGAAATTTTGATGATGCTTGAGAATTTCGATGGACGATGCATGATCTTCAACAATACCAAAAACGCAGTCACTTGCAGTGCTTGAAAACTCCATGCCAAATGTTCATTTTACTATTAGTTTTGGACATATACCTGCTCAAAATGAAAACAAAATTAAAACTAAAGAGAAATTTAATTTTCATCAAGAGATGAGAAATGTCAGTACGGAGAGAAAAATGCTGGAACGTTGCATTTCCATGGAGGGGCTCATGAATATCGAATGACGGACAAGGTGCACTACCTGGGCTGATGTAAAGGGTCAAACAGCCCATGATGCAGCAAAACCTTTCTGCAATGCCATCGTGAATTAATGATAGTGGCCACGAAATCAAAACGATCATTATTTTGGACCATGGTTTAAAGAAACATGCTTGAACAAAATGTTCAAGTCATAAAAAGACGATGATTTGGAGTCCTTTCTTAAAATATTTGTTCTAAAGCTCGTGCTGTGTACCATTTTTGATTTTACTCGCTGGTTTTTAGTGGTCAGGTTTTTTGATGGAATCAAATGACGTTTGCAACTGCCAACTTCGGAACCCAATAATTTCTGAGACATTTTTAATTTCGTGATTATGGTTCGAATATACGGTATGTAAGTATTATCATCTTTCACCAAATACAAATCTGTTTGAAATTGCCACGGGAATTATTACTTGAATTTACTTCCACATAATTTCCTGGTAGCTGGGGCTTATAGGCTCTTCATGTCCATCAACTCTGATCATGATGAATGACGGGTGCAGTCATCGGTGTTCCAGATATCAGTGTTCCTTTTGTCATCGGATATTGTGAACTAATTCAGTGCTGTTCACTTCAGGAAAAATGAACCCCTGAAGTTCATTGTTATATGATGGCTCATATTTTGGAGAACTTGTCGTTTGCCTCTTGTTTTATAAGATGCTGCCGAGAACCAGTTGCCTTTACATTGACACAACATTATGACTGGGTTTCTAGTTTAAAGCTAGTCCTACAGCTGTTTAGCATTTCATAGGATTCATGTAGTTTCTATTTAACACAAACAATTTAAAGGCTGACGTTGTCCAGCAAACAGACACTTACTTTGGCCTCTTCTGTAGGACCTCCCCGGTACTCTTGTGTAGAGTACTAACCAATTTACAGATGACGGCTGGTTCACTGACAGTCTGATAGTGCAGTAAAACCTATGCAAACAAAAATAGAAGACAGAGCTCGTTTCTGCATCAATATATGAAGTAGTCTCACAAACAGCAGTTGCTGGTCTCATCCGACTGAAGCATCTTTGAATGGAAGTTCCGATCACAATTTGGACTTACCGGGAAACCTTTGGTGACGGGCACGTCCAAGTTGAACATGATGACTCTGGCCCTAAAGCGACTGGCCACTGGGATGGGATGGTCGATGCTGCACACGACGCTGCCGACACTGTGAAAGGACCAAGCCATAAGGGTCATGTTCAGGAAAAGATCTACTTACAGGGGAGTTTCCCAAACCAATGTCGTCTCTCCAGCTTCAAACACAGCTCCCTACAGGTTCCCTATGTTGAAGCTCTTCCGAATCAGTGCATTTCTTTCTTTCTGCTGCTGCTGCGTAAATATCAGCTGTCTCAGGCACGGCCAAAGCTCACATTTTCAGTCTATTTGAATACTAAACATTTGAAACTGAGTTTAGAGCCAAGAAGAAGCCAGAGTCGGAGACATCTGACATATGCAAAATGGATGCAAGTAACAGTACACTCTGTGTTGGCAAGGACACTCAAAAAGAGTTACCCAATTGGGACTCAACTTCAAGACAGGGGCAAGAGTTTTACTCGGAGTCGATGGTCTCTACTTCAAACTCACCCAATGTTGACTTGGTCGATACTAGTTACCACCACAGTTGCATAGTCTCCTGCACAGGCCCATCTTGACTCTTCGTCATGGATGTAAACACCTACCAAAGGGAAATGTTGCAAAAATTTACAAGTCGAAAACATGCAATGCATAAGTTTCTTGGCATACAGAGGTGTTTTTGGCGTTGAACTGGACCAAAAGAGAAAGGCTGATTTTCACATCAGTAACACTAAAACACATTTCTTTTTTCAGTACAGTGATGAAAAAAAAAAAACCAAAATATGAATAAAATTCTCAAATGAGCCAGAACTTGCGCCTGGTCTTACATCTTGTCTGGCACCTTACCTCGTACTTGGCCCGTCTCCCCTGCTGGCATGATGACCACGCGGTCACCGACCTGCACGCCCCCTGACTCAATCTTGCCAGCTATGCTGATGCCTGCCCCAATACCTTCAGAAGGGGGGGAAAAATCACACCTAAAATTCACTCTGGTGTCTAAATCTCACTTCAAATGTCCCTACAGTACAAATGTAGTTTTTAACTTCAGTGAAACTTCAGTGTTTATATTTAATTGTCTTGTTTTTTGTTAATCTCTAATTCACCTGCACATCCCTGGTACAACTAACACATTATCATTGAACGCAGGACTACTCTTCGGCCACAAAAACTCCCCATATTATCAGTAATGTTTTAGAGCCATTTCCATCCAGATGATCTGTTGGTTAATAGTGCTGTAAGTAGGTGCCAAGGTTCAGTTTGGGTTCAGTTCGGACATGCACACGCATGTACCTACATTTGATATACACATTGAGACAACGAAGAGCTTGCTACGAACGTGCCGTATATGGAACTTCCGTGTATATAATACGTCAATAAAAGTAACAAATCTCTTCTCCATTCCCATCCCCGAGCAACTGACATAATTTTTTTTCGAAACTGTTTCCCCAAAATTTGTTTAGGAGTTAAAATTCCATATAAAGTTACTGTCGGAGGTGTGACAGTTTCTGACTGTGTTTTTCTGACCAAAACGGTTGTATTTGGACCATACTTGACTCAACAAAACGATTGCAGGATATTTGAAAACAGAAAAAACAGCACACTCAAATAAGAGTTTCCTCCTTTACAGAACACAAGAGCAAATTAGATTTTGTGTTATGGTTATTTTTCACGAAACAGATTCAACTACCAAACTATGGCTTTCAATGTATTCGAAAAAGAACCTTGGTATCATGTCAGCATTGTTTCCCAGGGCAGTGCCCACGTGTCCCATTAGTCTTTTTCAAACGGATAACAGGTTTTGTTATTTGAGATTTGCAAACAACTCAGAGATCTGGCAAAATTCCATTACAACGTATTCACACTCCAGCTTTGATCAAACATGATCAAACAAAAGGCAAGCTAGGCCACCGCATGAACCAAATCTTGTCGCGTACTGGAGCACTGCACCGGCCCGCCTGGCAAAAACAATTTTCCCTCTAGAGTTGCCTTCGATTGAGCATGAGTCCGACTGTGATCAGCATCCAATCGAAATTCATTGTGCACGGCCATTTATGACATCATGGCCTCATATGGAATGTAAGGGTGTGGCTAACTGAAATTGGAAAACATAATGCTAAATCTGAATATACATAAGCACAATTGGATGTAGTGAGAATTTAGAATTGTTGTGCAGCAGAAATTCTGTACGTTGCATGTTCTCCGTTGATTATTAGTGAATTCCCACCATGTGCTTTTTACAACCATTGCGTGATGCAGGGCCATCGTAAATTTACCACAGATGTATACAGTACATATACATTTACAGTACATGCGCACACGTACATGTGCCTGAGCGCCAGTGCGGCATAATTTGTTATCCATTTTTGTTGTGTTTGGTTTTTTATTAAGTTTCCTTTTGTCCATTCGTGTGCTATCAATGCTATTTAATTGAAGCCGAACATCCGAACCGACCAGTTTTGTTTGGTTCGGTAGAGCCATGTTTGATGATTTTTGGTTTGGTTCGGCAGTTTGGCTGCAGCACTATCTGTTGTGCAACAAAAAAACTGTTGCTTGTGGGGCTTAAAACTATGTCAAATGGCAGCCTTGTTCTCGCCCTTCAAAGATAGCCATCAGTGTTGTAGTTGAGACCATCACAAGGCCACGCACAAGACCAGTCACAAGCAACAGGGTGAACAATGAAAAAGAAATGCTTTTGTTGCAGTTCATTTGAATAAAGGTGGCTTGACTTGAGACTAGAGGTTTTGTGTTGGTCTTGTGTGGGCTTGTGAAGGTCTCAAGTGGTCTCAGCTACAACACTGTAAACCATTACGGAAAAAGACAGTGCATAGGATATCATTTAAAGTCCATTATTAAATTGACGGTTGTCTCTGAATGGTTTAATGAATGAAGTGATATGCTGAATTGTGCAAACTGAAAAGCGACATTTAATGATGTTGGCCTGTACTTGCCTTGAGCAGAAGCGTCCCTCACTGGTTTAAAAGAGCTGTGTTAGTGGGGAGTGTTCATTTTGTTGGAAACAGTGTGACTGTAACATGTACATTTCATAGTCGTTTGCGAACCGGCACAGTGAACATTGCTACAGAAATTTTACTTTCTCTTGGTTCAGCACAGGGCCCATAAAAAGACTGTTTTCTATGCCCAGAAAACTCAACTATGCATTCTAAAAATAGCAACGTGACTGCTGCAACCAATGAGCTTACCCTTGAAAACATCAGAAACACACTGTCTGAAGGCCTTTTCAATGGGTCTTTTAGGAGCTTTCAAGCTATCTGAAATTAAACCAAATAAAGAAGCAAATGCATTTTATATTCAAATCTCAATGTTTTGTTCTTTATGATGAAGAATTTCTCCAGTTGGGCGTAGATGCAACAATATGGATGGTGTGCATATAAACAATCGTTTCTCCAAACTGTAGGAGCGGTGAGCCATGAATGTCTCTTCGTCCGTTGTTCTATCTGTTTGTCTTCATGGCCTACTGTTACAGCCTTACCTATCCTCTCCACCAGTGATGGACCTTTGTACCATTTAGTGAGTGCTGGTTCTGTGGCCCTGTCTTTTAGGTTTTCTCCCGTCAGTCCACTGCAGGGGATGTACTGAACCTCAGATTCCTGCCAAGATCAGAGATGGGGCTCCCTTTTCTTTAAAAGATGCAGCATTCTTGGAAAATCACATGATAAGATGGATTGTGTGCAAGTACGCCCCCAAGGATTGGGAAAAATGACCTGTTAATAAGCCATTGCAATGCTATGGCTGCTGTACATCAACATTTAGGTGCATTCCTCTACTATGACTATGAACTTGTACTCATTCCAGTGAAAATTGATAATGTGCACTTTGCACCATGCACACCCAAACAAGTACACACACAGTGGCAAGAACCAGAATGTGTGTTCTTGGTAGTAGGTTACAAACCCAATCTACAAGCAATCTTACATGAGTGCAGACAACTGCTTATTACAGTCAGTTCAATGTGAATGTAAGTATACTTTGCTGAATCAAACACCTGGTCAGGAGATGGGACGGAGTAAGGGGGGGGGGAAACCCTCCCACCATATGTTTCCTGGTGTCTGTTGCCCTCACCTTGAAGCCGGCCTGCTTAAGGAAGTGCCCCAGCTTGCCCACGATCTCGCTGAAGCGCTCCTCGGCCCAGCCCACCGTGTCCAGCTTGTTGATGGCCACAGCCAGCTGGGTGACCCCCAGCGACCGGACCAGCAGAGCGTGCTCCCTCGTCTGGCCACCCGCATCAAAGCCGGTCTCAAATTCTCCCCGAGTGGCATCCACTACCATAATAGCCACGTCCGCCTGTCCAGAAAGATTTGTCCGGAATAAGCTTATTCAGTAGTCCAACAGAATACGCACAAAATGCATCGAATCACAATTGACTGGGTATGATACATGAAAATACCAGAACAGTGCCCATGCTGTCTATTTACGCTAAAGCCATGGAAGAGACTGAGTATCCTACACACAAAAAAAGTCGGAACAAAAGCCGATGGTGTTCATGTGTGTCTTACCTGTGCAGCTCCGGTGATCATGTTCGGAATGAAGTCTTTGTGTCCTGGTGCATCTAGGAGTGTTACTATTCTGTTTGAAGTCTCAAAATTGGTTAAGCCTACATCCATGGTGATTCCCCTTGGGAGAAAAAAGAAAGTTGGAAGAAATGCATCCAATCATCTTTTCTGTAAGATTTCCAGACCTGGAACATGCAAGGACTGTTGATTGTGCCTTTTCAAAATGTGTCGATAGCTGCAGTAGTCTTAAAGTAAAGAGAACACTTCAATATTTACAAAGGGGGGAGACTGGTGGAGACTAAACAATCCATATCAAGTACCAGATGTTTCACGGGCCCCACAGCTATGACATACATTTGTGTGTGCGCCTTAAGGTACGCCTTTGAATACCCATTTCTTGTGTTCTATATCAATTTTTATTTGTAAAAACACTTCGGTCAACTCAAAATTTTCCTTATCTTAAAAAAGAGATTGTTTGAAACATCCTGATGAAAAAATCCTTAGAAATATCACCCATAATTTGTATTTAAGTTGATCCCCAACCAATGGCTCCCATTCTACTTCGATGAGAGTGAATGAATATATCTGATATCCACCTCTGTCTCTCCTCCCCAGTCTCATCCAGCACCCAGGCGTAGGCAAAGGATGCCTTGCCCAACTTCTTGGATTCTTGCTCGTACTTGTGCATCTGCCGCTGGTTCACCTAAGGGAGGGAATGGGAGACCCCAACAGGTCAGAGGCTAGCCAGCTGTCCCACGCAATGTGCATGAAAACACTTACTAACTACTTGAACTGAGACTAACCATGACAAAAGGTAAAAGATGCCATTCCATGATTAATTACCAAATGTACCTGTCCAAGAAGATAGAGAAGGTGCCCCATCAATGTTGACTTGCCGGCATCTACGTGTCCAATCACCACCAAATTTATGAGTTGTTTTCCTTCCTGTCGTTTGGAGTATTCTTTAGATATATCAATATTCTGTTAAGAGGAGACAACAATTTCAACATTGTCAAGATCATTTTGAAGTCTTGGATGTTCAGAAGGCTGATAGCCATTTTTTTACGCTGTAAAATCACTAGCTCCACTCCCTGTTTAGGATAATGAAGCACATGCAATATAAGTCATAAAGTTTATTGGGTTTGAAAAATTTTCATCTTTAGCTGTGACTCTGAATTTCATCTTCATAGATTTCCTTGAGTTTACATATTCTGGTTAAACACAGCCCATTTTCTGCTCCAAAAATATCATACTTGTCTGAAATGAAGCCAAACATTCAGGATAGAATATTTTCACTGGTTTCAGCAATACTTGTTTAAAGATGAATCTGATAAGCCTGAAAGAAAGTACTTGTCGGAACCGAGCCAGGATTGGGCAAATGGCTGAGCATGTGCAAGGTTATGAGTTGTGCACATGTCTACGCTGCAACTATGCAGCAAACTACACACAGAGCTGGTATTGTATGTGGTAGCACCAAAGGATCGGTTGACTCACTCTTAGCACTTACCCCAGCTTTGGAGGTCTTGGACTCTCTCCGTGTCGAGGGCTGGGCTCCGGGCAGCGCTGGTGCTGGTGATCCAGCCATGCTGGTCAAGTCCGGGGCACTCATCACTGTTGGAAGCTTACCTTTAGACTCACTGAAGTAAAGAAAAACGAACATGAGGAAAATGCAAAGTAATTGGAAACAAACAAGTAGTGCACATGAAGATGAAATCTAAAAGGAGAGAGGAAAACAGATACAATGCAAATATGGTGTCTTTGGAAGGAAAGAAATGTGCGTGTCCAAAGTTCCACTGAACACTCGAGCACATTCATTTTCAGCATCCAGAATCAAGGAAAGACCAGATCAGAAAGTTGAAGCATTGAAGTGTACACTTTGTGGTTGCCAAATTTTGCACTATGAGATTACAGTACCCAAGGCAAAACCTTTTAGCACCACATTGTTACACAGCAGCCCCCATTGGTTGTTCTGCAGTAACACTGTGACAACAGCTGCATTCTCTCTTCTACAAAGCTAAAATGTAGTTGACCACTTTTGTCTCAGTACTCAGGTTTCATAGTTCACGGGGTTCTGATACACTGTCTGGACAGCGTTTGTTCCTGGTACACTTACAAATGTAAATAAGCCTCTTGTGAGTTAAATTTGAATTTAAATCTGGTACACTGAGTTCTGTAAATTCACACAAACATAACCAACTTGAATTCCCAGACTAATGACACTGTTACTATACTTTTTGATTTGGGGAAATGACCACCATCTCTGTAATGGAATTGTTCCCTGGTGCTAATCTCACCAATTGAAAACAGTGTATTGTTACAAGGCATTTCTAATGTAACTAAGGAAAAGCTTGCCCTGAATTATGAGGTACCGGTATATCAAGAATGTCTTTAAGTACGGAGAATTCAACTTATGTTCATGTGAATTTAAAGAACCAGTGTGACACATTGTACTCTAATTTACCTTGCGAAAGGTTTACTTGTGCATGAAATGGCACACTGTACACAGTCAACTTCATGTACATGTAGCTTGTAATAAAATGGGCAACAAAGTTATGGAAGAAATGGACCTTTCCCATAAACATGATGAAATATGCAAATAAGGCAAGTGCATGCGCATGACTACATGTACCACTGGCTGGCAAAATTGCTTACATCTACGAC